ACAAATCAATTGCCTGAGTAACTAAATAATGTTTTTCAAATAAAAGCTCAAATTCTACAAACTGTGCAAACAGAAGCTCTCCAGTTTGCATGGGAAAAGATTCTAACATATGACTGGCTAGGCTGCTTGTTTGTTTGCTCCCTGGCCCAGAGTCTGGTGGGCACTTCTCATCCAACTCTGAGTGCCACTGCGTAAACATGTAAGCTGAACTCCTTTTCCCCACTCTTCAAGTCTCCCCATTCACAGCACTGTGCAGTGCTGGATGCTGCAGGAAGTGAGGAGGCTTGGGCAAGACCATTCTTAACAACAGAATGAACAAATAAGCTTTTTATGAAAATTACTTTGAAACTAATTGAATTAGAAGTAAATTAAAACTAGGGAAACCAAGCAAGATGGTAAGATGGAGCTGGAAGTGATCTGACCCCATTCATTTGAGGGGACCATGGCAATGGCAGCCTGTCCTGGACTGGACGGTGACAGGTCGGTCTGTCTGCTCCCTGCCAGGAGCTACAGAGTTGTTAGTTCATCCTCTGCTCGGTGAGCAGCTCTTCCACCTCCAGTTCCTCTCCCTGCTTGTTTTGCCTTGAGGCTGGAAATTCTTGCTTCTTTTGCCACCCTGAGTGGCCACGCCAGCCCAAGCTGTAGTGTTGGTTGTTACTGCACTTTCAGCACTCTTGGGGCATTTAGAAATATGTGCAGCTTGCTGGAGACTTGAGGGTTCAACAGGTGGCTAGCAGAGATTTCCTCTCCAGCACAAGCCTGGCAGATGTGCTTGCTGGGCCTGCCTAGTCCTGTCTGGCCTGATTCAAACAACAGGCTCTGGAGCATGGTGGAAATGACAACAAAATGGTACTCCACCAGCATGCAAAGCCTGTTGCAGGGGAACATTTCTCCAGCAATGTTGGGTCAGGAGTCCTGATATTATAGGTAGCAATCCTTTGCCACACAAATGTAGGAAAGAAAAACATAAAAGGAGTTTCCCTATTCCTGATTTTTTTTTCTCAGCAAACTGCTTCTGAACTGTAGAAAATAATTTCAAAAAGCCAAATAGAACCTGCTTAGTGTCTCAGAAAACATCGAAATAGGGAATTTTTCTGTTAAGTTGCCTTCCTTGAAGATCTTCCAGCTTGCTCAGCTCACCCTCCAACTTGCTCAGAGCACAGCATGTGAGGGAGTTTAACAGAAGAGAAACAACATAAAATGTGAGCTCCCTATGTAACTTTCTGTTAGAGAGCTTGGCATGAGACAGTCTTCCATCTGCAAAAAGCAGCGCTTGACTGAGTTCCCATTGACACCTTAGGTGTATTTCATCATGAAATCCCTGACTCCTAGAAAGGGTGTGGAAAAATTGCCCTGCTTGAAGCATAACAACGGGGAAGGAAATTCAGTTCTCAAGTGAAAAGCAGGAAGCTAACATTATTCCTACTGGACAAGTGAAGGCTTTGAAGCACATCTTTGTGTGCTGGCTCTAACAAGCTAACTGAAGCCAGGTCCCATGGGTGGAGCACCCCAGGATGTTCTGACATTGTGGAAGTCATGGGTCTTCTCCTGAACAAGACCCTTCTAGTCCCTAAAAATGTATGTCTAAATATTCACCTGCCTCATACAGTCTTGTGAGCAGGACAGGTTTTGATAACCATAGCAGAGCACACGCATTTCCAGAAGTCACTGGTTTTTGTTGCTGGCATTTGAGTAAATGAGGCATCTGGTTCCAGGAGAGGAAATACCAGCAGAATCTGTCCCTCCATACAGTGAGAAGTAATAGAATCATTGAATCATTTAGGTTGGAAAAGATCTTTAAGATCATTGAGTCTAACCATTAACCTAACACTGCTAAGTCCACCACTAAACCATGTCCCTAAAACATTGAGCAGCCGATATTTTTCCTACATTTCTAATTTAAATAATATCTTTACAGCTAGTGTGCCCTGTCCCAAATTCTGTTTGTATTTTCCTTTAAATGTTAACCTTCCCAGTGCTAGGGTCTCTCAGCAGCTGACAGTATACTCGTGATCTGAGAGGGTCTGAATTAAACCAGCCAAACTGTAATTTCTAAAGATAAAGATCAGAGTAGGTGCTGTCATTTCATAATTATTTTGTTTCTGTAAACACTTTTGTCTGAATAATCTTGGTGAGGGAAAAAAAAAAAAAAAAAAAAAAGCTTTAGAGCTTTAGTTTCTAGAAAGGCTCTGTGCAAAATGACACCAGAGCTGTCTGCTAAGTTCAGAGGACAAGATTTGCATCTCTAGGGCCTGATGCTGCCTGCTCTGCAGAAGCCAATAATTTAAATGACTGGAATGGACTGATCTCTTGCCTGGAAAGCGTGCAGATTGGAACAGGAAAGCTACTAGCTCACCAGGCAACCACACAGCAGCCTTTGGATTAAATGCTGAATACAGAAAACTTGTTTTTCTGTCAACTTTATTGACGGAAAGTTGGTTTTAAAAGAAAACCTACTACAGCAATGCCACTGATACCTCAGTAAGAGTAGCCAGTTGAGATGTATTCACCTCAAACCTGCTCTAGAAGGAATAACTTTTTCAGATAACTGAGACATAAATTAAATTACACTCCCCCCAAAGCCTAAGCATAAGCTGCACTGAGAAAAGTAGAATTGATGTTTTGCAAGCTCCACAGAAACTAAACTGAAAACCAGCACTATTTGGATAGGCAATGGGTACCTTGTTCTTTAGCCCGATCATGTCGCAGCAAATTCACCAGCATGAGGAAAGCTTCTGTTTCATTGCTGAGCAGTTTCCATGGCAGTGAGAAATGGCTTCCTGAGCAACACACAGTTACAGACTCGACGTGGGGTCTCTGCGGTTCTCAAGCACTTTGATATGATTAATTCCAGTGGAGCTGGGTCTTAAGAGACACTTGTGTCAGGAATTGAACAAGAGCAGCACAGGAATTGCTCATCATCTCACAAAACACAGGGCTATTATTTTTATGCTAAGAAATAGCTCCCATACTTGAAGTCTTTCAAACTCAGAATTATTATTCTTATTTTTGTAATAAAAAGACCCTCTTAGCTCTTCACTACCTTAATTGCAGGTATTGGGCCCCTGTAATTGGATCCACAGTCTACGTTTGTAGCTATGGATCCTTTACAACAGAGGGGTAGAGCTGGACTTGAGAGATCCTCAAGATTTAGCATGCTTACCAGGAAAATGCCTCAAGATTTAGCATGCTTACCAGGAAAATGCCTCAAGATTTAGCATGTTTACCAGGAAAATGCCTCAAGATTTAGCATGCTTACCAGGAAAATGCCTCACCTAAGCCTTGCAAAGTCCTGTGAGTAGGAAGACGTGTGAATCTTAACCAGCTCAATACCTTGGGCACTTTATTTTGCTTTCTCTCCAGTTAGGACTGTCCCAAGGAATGGCAACCACAGTCTCCTTGGCCTCAAAACTGAATGGAGTGACTGCTAAAGAAAGCACTATCAGGAAGAGAATTTTGTGCTCTCCTTCCTAGTTTGTATTGCGAGAGTTCACTTCCGCCAGCGGAAGGCCCTGTTTCCATTTCCTTCTCTGCCTGAGATGACTGAACTCTTCCTGCTGTAGAGACTTAAAGCCATATTCCCTATTTTCCTGGGATATTTTTGTCTTTTGGATCTTTTTGAAAACTGGAGCCTTCAAGGATTCTCAAACTGAGCTCCTTAAAGGTGAAGAAACTGAAAAATCACAGTCATTTCTGAAAGTTTAATAGTTCCATTGTTCTTTCTGGTTTACATGTTAAAAATGAAAATAATGACTTTTTTAATAGTAGCAGATGCTAGAGAAATAGATATATTTCTTGCATTTATAAGGGAATGTGTGTATTTCCTGTATAGCTCGTATCATGCTGATATAAAGAACAAATCTTGTAGAATCAGCCTTGCCCATCATGGGGGATATATTGGTAAATATTTACTTTGCATGGGGAACTGCAAGCTCTACTCTGCTCCGCAGCAGTAGGAAGTCTTGTATAACTGCTGGCATTCTCGAGAGGGGATTCCAAAACAACTTAGCATCCTGCCCAACAATGTAATGGGCATGTGGGTGGAGGCTTGTTAAGGCATGCTCCATGCACTGAATGACTGGTGAAATGTCGTTGTTCAGGCAGATCTTGGACAGCTTTTGTTTCTTTGCTGCGTCTGTAAAGCTCAAAAAAATAAGATCATTTATTGACAGCCAGGCAAAGTGACTTTTAATTCTTCCCCCCACACTGATGTATACAATTTCACTAAGGAATTGGTATTTCTTGTTTCTCCCCACACAAGAATTTGTAGCAGTTTCTGAGGACTAAGTCCTTGTCCATAATGACCCTGTGGTGTAGTTGATCCCAAGAACAGTCTAGTTACCCTTAATTGTGGAGCCGTCATGGCAAAACCAGTCCCGTGTGAACTGAGGACAGGCAACCAGCATTGTCAATAGCTTAGAATAAGCATAAGAATATAAGAGGCAAAGGGAAACAGAAATGCTGTAGTTGTAAATGAGTCTCTTGTAGTAAGGAAATTGCTTCTTGGAAAGTTGTGAAACACAATTGTGAAGAAGGAATTTAAAAGACAAAAAAGTCCAAGGATCAAAAGACAAGCAGCCCTGTTCAAAGAGGTTTAGCAAGTGTCTGTCAGACAGGCTCATCACCACTGTGGCTAGCAAAAGCAAAGGGAATTGCTCCCTGCTTGATTACTAAATCAATAATTAATAATGACAGAAAACCCCACATCAAGCACATTGATTACATAATCAGATAAAAGTTTTTCTGTTTGGGAGTTTGCTCAAAAGCTTAATGCCAACACGAATAATTAATCTTTAACTGAGATTTGAATAAAGCTTTGCAGAACAAGTCTTTTGTGTGGATAGTCATATTGTGATGCAGATGCATTTGAAGAGTAACTTTTCATATCATAGTCTTTCAAAAAAGTCAGAATGACTAGAAGATATAATGCTGCTTTGCAAGGCTTTCTCAGCAAGAAATGCATTGCTTCTTTTGACACAAATGTTTGGAAATTGCCTTACCTTTCTGAAAATACTCCTCTCCATATTGCGTTTTAATATCAAGGGGAAGCTTATTCCAAATAACCTCCTTCTCTTTCAGAATCTTTGCTGGATTGGATAATGCTGTTTTGAACAGTCCAGGTTGAATGCAACAAACCTTAACTCCAAAAGCTTTCATATCTCTCCTGCAAAGACAGCCCAAATGATTTAATCACATTATTATTAATATTGTGGGTTTTTTTTTTCTGTGCTAACACTTTTATTTCTGTCTTTACATGACGCATCAGCACACAAATAATGAGGTTTGTTCACGGTTGTGAATTTTCAGCTTGTTATCCCTAAATGAAAGAGGGATGAACTACCCTACCTGCTTCACAGGGTGAGAACATGCAGGGACAGTGACTGTGCAGTAGCTAGCGTAGTGTATTTCACATCCTCTAGTAGCTCATTAGTTATGTGACTTGGCTGGAAGACTGGCTGTCTGCTTAAACACAAGTATCTAGAGCCATTTTACATGTCTTAGGGAATCCCTCTCGAGATCTGGCTGATTGTCCACATTGGTACAGTTCCTTCTGGCCCCATCTCATATCTCTCAGCTCTGTGTGTCGTATCTAAAATGGCACATATATTTAGGTACAGAAGTCCCTCCCTGTCTATGTTACAAGAAGAAGCTGTGGTGGTCCTCAGGATTAGTTTGCTATATTCTCTGGATCTCCCTGCTCATTGGTATAATTAAGAGAAGACACTTTGGAGAACAAATCTTAGATAAAAGTTACTATCATGCAATAACTCATGGTATGTATTTTTTCTGGATGGGTTGCTACTGGAAGTTTCTATGTGCACGTTTCAATTAGGAGAATTAGGTTCATATCACAAAGACATCTCAGTTCCCTTGACTGGAGCTTCCTCTGCAATAAGGCCTCTGTGCATACTAAGATAGGTTAGTTGCAAATCTGTAAGAGTACCAACTATGCTGCAATTAATACTTGGGGACAGCTTGTGTGCCCAACAGGCTCTGTATCATTTCAAAAGTGGCATAATCTGTGTTGAATAAAAGAACTTGGAAGAATTAGTCCAAAGTGTCTAATGTTTTTCAACTTTATACCAAGTGCCAGGATTGTAAAACCTATTCTGGATATACCTGTTTTTACTTAGTTTAAGAGCCTTAGGAAAAAAAATAGTGGTCTTTCCTCATAGTGAGTGTTGTACCTTAAGCTGTCGTTAAATCCTTCTACCCCAAACTTGGAAGGAAAATAGCCTCCACCACAGAATGCCAGGCGACCTCCAACGCTGGATACATTTACTATCCTTCCTTTTGCTTTTTTTATCAAGGGAAGCATATTTATTGTAACATTTATGAGTCCAATTAAATTAACTTCAATTGGTTCTCTGAAGTGCTCAATATCCAACCAGTCTGTAGGAGCAGATGGCCCCATAATCCCAGCATTATTGACAAGTCCCCAGAGACCTGTAAAGAAGAAGCAAGTCAGGAAGCAAATTTTCACCTAATATGTCAGATTAATTGAAATAGGCGAGACTTCACAGAAAATCAGCGAGTGACCAAGAAGGCAAAGATTTGGAGGAATGTCCTGTAGTATTCAGCTTTATTCTCAGTGTCCAGGTTTTATCACTATACTTTCCATCACCCTTTGCATAGTCTTCCCCCTGCCACAGCGTTTTGGGCAGGGGGTGGTGTTGGCTTTTTGTGGGAGAAAGGGCAGTAGAGGAAGACCAGGTACGGCAAAGAACTATATTGGGCAACAGGAAATGTGTAAGAACTAGACCTGGTCTTTGGTAGAGGTAGAGTGTCCTGAGACACAAGTAAGTGTGCCCTGGTTCTGAGATGGGTGAGGTGCTAGGACAATAATGAACAGCTCTTGATAACAAAAAAAAGTTTTAAAATCCTTCTCAAATGTCTGAAAACAAGATGGGAACTGTCTGACAGAGAAGGCTTTTGGTATTCTTTTTCCCTCTACTGACATTTTTGTTGTAGCAGAGAAATTATGCCTCACATTGACAGTTGTGCCCCAAATGGAAATGAGAAGGATTTTTTTTTTTTTTTTTAAATGAACAGCCTGGACCAAAAAATGAGATGGAGGCAGAGAAAGACCACTAGATTGATTTAAAAAATATTTCTAAGCCCTCAGAAGTGGGAGGTGGAAGTACATAAATGTAAAACCAGTTCTTCTCTTGTGTCATCTGTTACGGTTGTGTAAATGAATACTTTTGTTGGTCTGACCTTACTTACAGTTTTTCTTGGGGGAAAAAACCCCACTTTTGGCCTGAAACCAAGCACAGTTTCAAATAAAAGCAATTTGGCAAATTATAAGCAATTTCATGAAGAGATGAAAGGTCAAATGGAGATTGGAATTTACCATTGCGTCTAATTGGTACTATGGCACATCATAATAGACCAGATTTAAGACTCAAAGTTAGCAGAGTCCAGCCCAAAGGATCTTGGGCCTTTGTAAGCTCTACTGCAATACCACTCCTACTGAAACCAATTAGCATCAGTAATGGTAGAAGCATCTTGTCTTGCACAATGTGTTGAGTTAGAGATATGTGATTTTTCTATTTTTCAGATGGTCTGCAAGCAATATTCCAAAATAGTTATAGTCAGCTCTATTCAATAGAGTTCATATGTAATTTTTGCTTTTGATAGAAATGAGCGATTACTTACAAGTAATTTATTACATGTATTCTATTTAAAAAAAAAAAAAAAATCTTTAAGCTTGCTAATCAGAATTTATTTAATTTGTTCCCTAGCTGGGTAACACAGCATGGGAGGTGCTGAGCACTCGTGCCATAACCCAGATATGTATGTGAGTGCAAACAGTCCCAACTGATGTTCCAGGAACTGGATTCCTGTTCTGACAACGATGTATCGATAAGCCTGACTTGAGCACATTTCCAAATGTTTACCTACCACTAACTAGATGTATAAATCATCCCTCTAGTGAGATCTTCTTCCATGTTTCTGGAAGGTGACTAGACATCCACTCACACTTGTGAAACATCAAGTAAAATAAGCTGGGAACGTAGCATAGTATTTTTAAGAAAACTCTATTGCTTTTTTTTTTTTTTTTAAACAGATATCCTGGCACTCACCTTCTGACTGAACTTCATCTCTGACCCATGCAGCCACTTTCTTAACACTGTCTGAATCTCTCACATCTAGCAGCACTGTCTGAAGCTGCTTCGAGGTCACAGCTTTTAGCTCTTTGGCTCCTGTTTCAGTCAGACAACTGGCAAAAACACGGAATCCCTTTTTATCAAAAATCTTTGCTGCCATATTTCCAAATCCTGTGTCACATCCAGTGATGAATATATATTTTCCAGTGAGATTTGTAACCTTCATCCTGTCTCTCGCCCTCCAGTGCCACCACAGAGAGATGACGCCAAGAAAGAGGAATATGTAGAAAAGCATTTTTACTGAAGTTTTCTGGACCCGTTCTCCTGGAGAAAAAAAAAAAAAAAAAGAAAAAGAAAAAGGGAGCTCCCAGTTTTAAGGGATTGTTAGTTTGTTGGGTTTTTTTCTTTTTTTATTGATTTGGCTAACTTCAGCTATTCAGCGAAGCAGACACAATTCAGAGCAGTGGCCTCCTTGTGCTAAAACAGACAAAAAATTCCTTCCTTGAGCGGCAATGAGAAGTGGAGAGATACTGTAATAAGGTTACAAATAATAATGTATATTAGGTTACTGCTGCCAGGTCGGTAAGCTCACATTGAACATATCTGGGAGAAATGTTGACTAGAAAAGAGTAGCAAAAATGGTATTTGCATGGAAACCAACAGAAATGTCTGAACTTAGTGTCAGTTCATAAAAAATTAAAGAGTAAGACTTGGGCCAGCAAGCAAGATCAGCAGGACCCAGAACCTTTCTTGTTACTGTGGATACTTAAGCAATGCTAGCCAGGAAAAATCAACTTTATTTTACTAAACCTTTTGATTGTCAGTGATGGACTCTTAAGAAAGAGGGTAGCAAGTACTGTCACTTCACCTCTCAAGAAATAAATTCCCACCAGCGAGGCTGTGGGAGTGTGCATATGGTCCCCGGGGATAGGAAGGAGGGTGTGGGTTGGAGGTGCAGGTGAAGTGCTCCAGTATGACACCATCAATACTGCAAAATAAGTTTGGGAAAAGCCTGTATATATGGGATTATACTCCAGTTGACTTAATAGTGAATTTATAAGTAACTACTCATGATGGATTAAATTCTGCTTAGAGAAAACAATTCAGTTATACTTCATGAGCACTCATGGCCTGGAAAGCAGGAGATGCCTAATGTAATTGACTGAAATAAAAATTCTAAATAGACCTAAAGAAGTACAGATCTTTTTAGAGATTTTTTTTTCAGACAATCCATTTCTACAGAGCAAGATGCAGTGAAGTTGCATTTACTGTGGCCAAGTTCTCTGGCAAAACATAATTTAAAAGGAAACTGCAAACACCTGACATGTTTTTAGGCAGCATAGTAGGAACAGGAACACTGCTTTTACTTTTTGCATGTAGAACTGCTTTCTGATCTGACATGGGAGTCTCCATTTTTATTGCAAGCCCTGTGGCTGCTCATGGTGCTTGTTTACATAAATATGTGTGCTGGTGAAATGCAGCTTCTTGTGCTGGCTGGAAGTTACCCAGGGTTTTGCAAAAGTTGTAATGCAAAGATGCTAGTTTTGTTGCTTAACTTCCCGTGCAGTATCAGTAGTGACGGAAGTGTGAAGGAGTGATTAGGTAACTGCCCTCCTTGTGTGGTATTTCATGGTTCCTTTGTTAAGATAAGGAAATTTCTCTCAGCGTATGTGTGCACGCATAGCAGGCAGCACAGGGGCTTTGACCCTTCTCCTGTGGCCATTATTAAAATCACCATTCTGTTCGTAACATCCCTTGCTCTGCCTGGAGCTGCCATATTCCTTCTTCTTCAGCAGAGTAACAGTCTGGGCAGTCCCTGGCTGTTACAAATCAGAGCCAGGGCCAAGCTTGTTCCCAGAGGCTGCATGGAGACCTGCCCTCCTTGGCAGGGAGGCTGTTTCCCTGCCACTCCCGCCTTCCTGTGCCTCAGCCATGCCGGACCGCTGCAGCGTGCCAAGGCCTGTGCGGCCATGGCGGCAAACTGGGGGCCCAGGGACAGAAAAGGTCTGAGAAGAGCCCCTCTAGAGAAGAAGGAGAAAAAGCTGTGTTTCATCGTGCCCTATGTCAGCTGTAAAGTAGATATAAAGTATAACTGGTAAATTAGCATAAACAAAACAGAGTTTTGGCCTGATCGGCAATCTGGTCAATAAATGAAAATAAAAGCTCATTTAGCTAGACTGAGGGAAAAGGCCCGGTTTTGCCGCGGCAACAGGCCCGTCTACACCCATGGGACTTGGATGGTCAGGATTAATTTCTGGTCTCTGTGATCTGTAATCAGTGGGTTGGTGGGACTCTATATCAAATTAATAAAGTGCTGAAGTAGCAAGGTTTTCAGTTAGGGAGCTTTGCACAGGCTGTGTTTCCAACTCCAGCCTGCCAGGGAGACTGACAGGTCCAGCGCCTGCCCGCGGTGGCCAGGCTCTGCAATGTAAAGATCTACCTCCAATTTTTTACAGCAGTCACAGACCGAAAAAGAAAAAAAACCCAGTGTTCATCAAGAGAAAAATGTATTTTTTTCTAGTTTCTAGGAGGGAAGTGGCAGCTTTCACGAGTAGTCAGGAAAGTGGAGATGCAGGGGGCAGGCTGGGGCCCTTTGAACTGGCAACCACTGACACCACCACAAAACAGGCTGGCTCACCTGGACGTGCCACCCTCTGACACGAACAAGTGAGGTGACCAAGGGGCCAGTTGCCTGGAGGGTGGGGCAGGCACTCTCAGAGATGTCTTGTTGAATGAATTTTTTAATTTTAACACATTGAGTTACTTAATTTTTATATAAAAGTTACAGTTTGCATTTAAAATTTCCAGGGGTTGCTTGGTTTGGTTTGGTTTTTAGAAGTGTTGTTGCTGTGTCTGCTATTTTTATTTGCACAAGTGTTTGGAATGGAGAAAAAAAATCCTTACTGGCTGCCAGACTTGGGTGGGATCGACGGGATAAGTGAGTGCATGTCCTGCTTCTGGTACATTCCAAGAACAGTGAGAGGCTAACTTTAGAAAAAAATGTGAGTAACTAGCGGTAAGTCCCTTGCTGCCCACCTCCTAGCCTCCCTCTGGACCCATTCCAGACAGTATTTTGCAGTTTCAGTGTAGCATATTTTTGTAATGAAGAAAAAAATATACCATGACTTAGTGTCTCTGACCATGATTTAGACCATGGGAGAAGAAATGTTTCTTTCTTTGTGCTAACTTCCCACCTGAAGGTTTCATTCGCAACAATCACTGACTTGGACTTTTTACTTTACGTTACAACAGAAAGTCACAGAACCATCCCCATTGTGCCCAGAGGTACTTTCCTTATTTCATTGTAAGGAAAGTAGCAGCTATTACCTATTTCAGTATGAAGAAATGTAGTTTGATTGAAAAAAAAAAAAAAAAAAAAGGAAATTGACTTCTTATCAATGGACAGTCTTTTGCTTGCAGCGAAGATAAAACCCAGCCATCAAAAGAGGAAGTCTTGCTTTTAGGTGCAAAAAGGAGGTTTCTGTGTAGAACACTTGCTAAAGATCTTTGGAAAGGATGGTAACTTTTTTAAAAGTCATGCTGCATTGAAGGAAATACTGTGCATATTCACCTCATGGGACTGACATAATTCCATTTTTTATAGCATAAATCACAAATCAGTAACCTCAGTGTAAAATTCACTTTTCATTGGACAAAATGAATAGTAAGTCATGTTTGTATAACTGCTGTGGTGCCAAGAAAGGAATAAAGACACAGCATGTGGGTACTTGCCAACCTGACCAACTGTGTGTGTGTACTGACCTTTCCTGCAGCTTCCCACTCCTCCAGTCCCTGCCTTAATCAAGAGGAACTTATTCTTTTCTAGCCCAATTTTGTTGGTTTTGTCCTCTAGATACCCTTATAACTGTGATAATTAAAAAAAAAAAAATCATAAATGGCATTTAACAAGTGACACTCCTAGAAACAGACATGCAAATCATCTACCTAATAATTCAAGCTGCAAACTGTATTTCCTTTATTTCAAAGGTCCCTTACCTTAAATCAGGGTACCAAAGAGAGCTGTAACTTGCTTTTAGTTAGAGTTTACTTTACTTGCAATTTCATACTATTTAGGTAAAAAAATTGTGATAGCATGTGGAGCAAAATATCAAAAAATATTTTCAAAACACAGGAGAAATGAAGCAAACAAAGTGTTTTCCTTTTTTTTAAAAAGAATCAGAGGACAGAAAGATAAAGCACATGAAGAAGCAGAAGTGTAGTACAATATTGAGATTTGCCTTACACTTCTGACATTCTGAGATGCACTCTGAGATAGCACTGTATGCTAGCTACAGAAATAAATTTGGCTATGAATGGTTTAAAAATGAATTAATGAAGCATAAGAGCTGTCTGCTCAATGCCTTCTGTCAGGCAGGAGACTACAGACTGCTGTACTTGCAAACAGACTTCAACACAAAACACAGAAACAAGCTTCTCATCTGGTCTCAGCCTGCAGTGGCAGACTGAGTTGATTTACCTGGTGGAAAACTGTGTCCACCAACTCCTCCATAGCTGTGAGCAGTCAGTGCAAAATTTCTGACTATCTTTAGGAAGCTTTGGAAGCATTTTATTTGATTGCTGCTACTAGCTGTTGTCAGTACTGGAATAAAGATCAATACATTATTGACTACTACTTAGAGCTGAGGAGTCCTGTACCAAAAGAGTGCACAAGCTTTCATTTTTTTACTGAGAAATTATCTGTATGGGAATAGCTAAGATTCATTTTTATTCACTTGCTCTTATGAACTGTTGGAAAAAATCCAGAGAAGAGAGGATGACCTCATTTGGAGTGGTAATATGCTGGAATAAACAGCTACTCAAATCGAGGGAAGAAGCAGTTATTTTACTGCATTTGGCTCAATGAATTGTGCTCTTTTTCTTCCTGTGCAAAGAAGTATTAAAATGATGTGAGCTGTAAGCAAATTGTTTCCCTTCAACTCAGGCCACAGCTGAGGGGAATTATCCTGACAGTATTGCTTATCTTTCATGAACTAAATAGTATCTATAACCTACCAAAATTCAGAGATTTTGCATGTGATCCCTACAAGAATTCAGGGATGGGAGCATGTCCTCAGTCTCCTTGATTTACTGAAGTCCTGCTCTCTCTTCTTTTAGTTCAGTGCCTAATTCTTCATTGACTGAAGGGCTGACTTTCGCAAAAGAAACTGAATTTTGCCTTCCGAAGACAGCAGAAGGAAACAAAGTACAAGAGGGCTTCAGGAGATAGTGAGGATTTGGTTAGTTTTTCCACTACCAGCTGAAAAAATGGGAAGGTGACTCTATGGGAGTGGGACC